GGTTCAAGTCCTGGACTTGGCAGCTTAAAAACTCGTGCTGGGTGCGTGCACATGTGTGCCCAAGGACAAAACAGAGAAGGGATTGTGGCGTGGCCATCCCCCGGGGGGGACGGGGGGTGGGTGATTTCTCGCTTGCTGTCTTTGGCTGTCTGACATGGGCACGGTGCCCTATAGCAAAAATCTGTCTTTTTTTTAAAAAAAAAAAAAAAGGTTTAGGGACCAGCAGTTGGCGTAATGGCTATGTTGCTGGACTCCATGTGGTCCACCATGGTTCGAGTCCCGGACCCGGTGGCTTAAACTCATGCCGGGCGCGTGTGCATGCATGCCCAAGATCCCGAGAGGAAAAGGGATTACTGCATGGCCATCTCCCCTGCGGGTGATTTCTCACTTTCTGTCTGTCTCTGTCTTTCTGGCAAGTGCACACACCCTATAGCAAAAACTTCTCAAAAAAAAAAAAAAAAAAGGTTTAGATAATTATGTATATACATATTTAAAACACAGTAAAAAAAAAATGGCCTCAATTAAGGTTACCCGAACCACACACAGAATAAAATGATACCAAGTAACGGTGTACCCTCACAGAGTTAAAAGAATGAAAAGTAAATGAATAAAAATGGATTTGTGTTGTATTTAAAAAAAAAAAAAAAGGCAAAGAAAAGAAACATTCAAACCTTGCTATCAGGCTTTCGGGATGTGGGAGCCTTTGTGTCGGTGCCCCCACCCCCATTTTTGTGGCCCCCTTCTCCTTTGCCACAGGGAATTCCCAGTGAAAACTTTACAAATGCAGAAGCAGCAGTTTCAAAAAGAAGGGATCAAAAGGTTCCCTTAGGGCTTACTTTGAGGTAGAAAGGAAGAGTGGTTTGAAGTCCTCATTATCTTAGAAATAATTAAGAGCTTAACTATACATAATTAACTCTTCTACATCTATCTTTTCTACTCTTACCACCCTACCCTAAGAAACCCGGTCACAGCTTCAGCCCAGCCAGAATCTGACACAGGGTAATCAATCCCTTGCTGAGCTCCGAAGACGGAAGAGGCCGGTAGGGGAATGGGGTTGATTACCTAGTCTCTCCCCTCCCATCCCTCGATCCTCACCTGCCCGTTTCCTGGTTTAGACATGGTTTTCCTGGCTCGATGGACCTTGGGCTGCCCCTCTGGGCCGGTGGTGGCTGGAGGAGGGTCAGGTCCTGCCGCTGCAGTTGCCTGGGCCCCTGGCATACTCAGCAGTCTCATAGCCAAACTCTGGACAGATGGGGGTGACTTTCCTGCCCCAGTCATTGACATCTTGGCCCGGCTGGGACAGGCACCCCCTTTGCTGGGGGAAGAGGGGAATGACTTTGTGGCATGGCCTAGAAAACAGACAGGCAGGCAGGCAGGCAAGAGGCAGGATAAGCAGGAAGTGGAGTCAGAAGGTTCCTCCCACCCCCCAGGCTTCCCAGCCTCTCACCCAGCAGGAGTCGGCCCCCATGGAGGTCCCCATCTCCCTCAAGATTTTCGGGTTCATCTCCAATGAGTGGTGTGGCCCCCACGGGGGTGTCAGCCCCCTCATCGCCGACGGTGACGGTGACAGAGGCTGGAGATGAGGGGCCAGCAGGCTCCAGGGAGTCAGGGTTGGCCTTGGGCAAGGTCTCCTCACTATGGGGAGTGTCCCCCAAAGAGCCATGAACTGTGGAGGGGAGGAAAAGTTGAGGCTAAGGGCTGAGAAGGGCCTGTGTTACGGGAGGTGAGGTCCAGCTGGGCCCGTGTCGCAGCACTCACCTCTCTCCGTGGCTCCTCTGGGCTCCTTCTCCAGCAGCAGCGCCCCCATCTCAGCGGGGGCCTCCCCCTGGGAGGGGAGACAAGGAACAGAAGGGCTGGTCAGCCCGGTAGGGAGCTGGGGGGCCCAGGATGCCTGGGCCCTGGGAAGAGAGAGTAGGCTCCGGGGCCTACCTCTTCCTCTATGAGCCCCCCCTCTTCCGCGGCCTCGGCTGCCCGGAGGGGCCGCACGACCCCTCCCCCGGGCCCGCATCAGCCCCCTCCCTCTCGGTAGTCCCCGCATCTCTGGGGCCAAGAGGAGAGGAGGGGGAGGGGGCGGGGCCTCCGCGCCCCGGCCCCGCCCCCTCCTCCCGGCTGCACGCGCCGCTCCCCCTTTGTCCCCCAGGCCGCGGGGACCCCGGGCACCCAC